ACTAGTCCATTTTTCCTTTCTATCCTTCATTTGATTCTTTTCCTCCTAACTTTTTACCACCGTTAAATGACCAACTAATTGTATCTTAATGAATACAGTACCTCATACTTATACAGTAATCGCAATTTTGTACAGTAGTCATAATTTCATGTCTGATTACTGTATAAATAAACTGCTCGTAGTTCCTTTCTGCTTTCACTTCTTTCATAACAAATTAACCAGGAAATGATAAATTTGGTTGAGTACTGAAAACGATGTCATTTTTGATATTTGGAAAAAAAGATCAACACACTTTATTTAGAGAAATTTAAGGAAACGATACAATTTAAGAAATGATACCATCAGAAAGTATGAATTGTGCACGATTGACCAATTTGTTCATATTAATTCGAAAAGAAAAAAAAAGTGAAATTAGTGAATCAATCGATGCAAGGAATGAAATTATTTAATTAATTCAATTATAATTCGATTATTAAGAAATTTTGCATAAAAGAATTAGAAATAATGAAGATAAATATTCCATTATCAAAAGTTAAATGTTATCACAAAATTTATTTGTGCAAAATTGATATTATATGAAATGGATCATTAATGCTATCATCATTATCACTATATTATCATTTGTTTAGCAGAAAATAAAGGGTGAAAAATTTTGTCAAATTTGATACATTTATCATTTTGTAACATTTTTTCAAATTTCGTAACATTGTTGATTTAAAATCACTTGGATATTTCATATTTCATTATTTCAATCTTATCATCGTCGGAAATCGAAAGGATTGTTTGAATTCGTGAAAGGGAATGATGAATAGTGATTGTGTATTAAATAGTGTGTGTTCGCCGATTTTGTAAAATCAGCAAAACAACAGGTTGAATTCGTATGGGACAATATATATTGTTCGGTACGAAGTACTGGATGACAATGATATTTCCATTATCGGTTGATCATTACTACTTCTCATGGTATATGTCTACACTTTTATTTTCTTTAAGTAACTAAATTCAAAAGAAAGAAAAAAAAATGAAACTTTGGTATATGTAGTAATCGAAGTGACATCTTTTAAGTGACATCTTTCAACCTTGTCGATTTTTTCATTCGCTTAATTCTTTTCTTTATGATTTTTTTTGATAAGTAAAATTTAACGATAAAATGTTTCCATTTTTATTCCTTTTCTTTGTAACTAACAAATGGAATGAGGAAGATAGTTAAGGAAGGATTGTTGGATATTTTAGGATTTTATTTCTTATTATTGGTTAATTTAATTTTTACCTATCATTAAATCTCTATTGCATGATTTCAATTCGACCTAATTCATTTTAAATTTATGAAATCCCTCTTTTCACATTTTCTCTTCACTTTCACTTTATTCATTTTATTATTGTGTTTGTTTTATTTCAATGTATAATCAATTAACTTCTCATTCTATTTCGTCAACAAATTTATTTGGGAAAAATTTTCCAGATATTTCCAGATTATTTATTTATCTCAGTTTTATCCCAAACATTATTATCATTACTAGGAATTGTTCGACACATAAAAGTCAAACTTACTAATTGATTAATAACGATTGGGTCAA